ATTTTCCCTGCCCCCCCCCCCCCCAAAGCGTTTTTTGAGCAGCCTGAGTTATTTTTTGTAGATCTCATAACGTATTTTTATGTGATTGTTCTAGTCGATGGTGTTGTATTAGCTCTTGTACTTGGAATAATTTCACACATTCTCATAGTAAAAATTTATTTTCATGGCAATAACTTCAGCTGTAAAGTTCCTCCTTTCCATTAGCACTTCGATCATTTCTGCTGTTAAAAATAGGCTTGTATTTAAGCATATAAGCATTTTAAAGAAAGTAGTATTACATTAAATACCTTAATTATGTATTTGCCATACAGACACCGTCATACACAAACTGGATTTAAGATGTTGAGAAGATTTGGGACCTGAGATTTCTAGTTTCAGATTGAGGTTTATTCTTGTTCGCAGGCCCTGGCTGCTAACTACGTTAATCTTTGCTGTGTCTCTTGCGTTCCCCATCAGTTTCAGGTTTTTGGGAGAATGAGGTATTTGTTACATTCAGTTTGGTGAAAAGGACTTTTCCCCCTTGCCACTTTCATCCCGTGCATGTATCATCTGCAGTTCTGCCCGTGAATGCAAAAGCCTGACCATCTGTACCCAAACAGTGATTTGTGGGGAAATACTGCCCCAGATCAACAAAGCAAAAATAGGTGGCTTTGATATGTCCTAGCAAATACCATTATTTGAGCTTTGGAAGACAGCCTGTTACTGGGACACACGATTTAGCGGTGGCTTTAGTGTGGTGTAACTGTGCTAACTTCTATCTAGGGCCATGTAGAATTAGGTCAGCTATAATTTCTTTGAAAAAAAACAAAAAAAACAAAAAAAACAAAAACCAACCACTACCACCAAGAAAAACCTCAAAAACCAAAACTGTTTTCTAAATCCTCTGCAAACTGTCAGAATACCACATCCTCCGTGGTAATAGAAAATGTGATTAATTTTACTTCAGCGAAGTTTGTGTAGCGTCTCTTAGGACACTGTCCTATGTCGCATAGAATAGTTCCCCTAGGTTAGTTCGGTTGCTTGCTTACAGACTCTTGAAAAATCTGCTAGAAATATTCAGAGAAAGTCTAGTTACATATTGAGAAAGAAAAGGGTAAAAGGACCCATGACACACAGACTATAGCACCTGGGAGGTCACTCACTGCAAAGGGAGACAAAAGGAAAATTCCTTTTTGAGTAGCCCAAGTATGGAGTTGAAAGGCGGGCAAGTGTTAAGGCAGTCCTCATAGCGCTGGTTCTGATGCCACCTTAGTTCTAGAACTTTGGCATTTTATCTCCATTTAATTAGACTTAGCCTTCTCACTGTCATTATTGAAAGTCAGGTCTCCCTGGGTAACGTGGAATTAACTTATTACAAAGTGCACTTAAGTGGAATTCTACTGCAACGACCTATGAACCCTGTTAAAAAAAATTAGCGTCTATTCCCTTCTGGGAAAGGAACCATTCCTACTCCTTTTATGTTTCTGACTAAAACCATATAACCCTGCAAAACAGCAAAACCAGATCCAATTTCCTGCGTTAGTGTGTGTGCTGAAAAGAAATGTCTACACTCTACTTTTAAAGAAAATACTCACATGATGAAGGTCCCCAGCACAAGAAAAGTGTTCCTGAGCATTATTATACCAGAAAAATGAGAGCAAGTAGTAGTGTGAAAAATTTGTTACATTGAGTAGTGCAAACAGATGGTTACTGAAATCACTGATATATGCTACCTAAAATGGGGAAGCCTGCTTAAACACAGGAAAGAGGCTAAGTTTAAGCTAAGTGGTAACAATAAGGAAGGCAGCTCCTGTAGTGCAATGCTCCTGGGGGTGGTTAGAGTCAATCCGTGGCTGGCTAAAGCAGCGTTGTCATCCTGCTATTAACAGCATGAGGCTGTCCTTGCTGCCAGCAGGGAATAGTTGAGAGAGATGTAAATTGTGCCATTACATAAGTGTAAATTGTGATATAATAGAATCAATTGTACTGAATTGTGTTGCTATAACATCAGAACTTGCCCCGGTAATTTCTCTCGTCACATGGCTAGAGGGCGAGTAAAGGCCAGCAATATAATCTTGTAACTTCAAGTTCTCCAAGAAAAGCACATTTTGCAACATTTATATAAATTAGCTGTTCCTGGAATGAGCAATTCACAGCTCTAAACTATTCAGATTCTGCAGATACATGTAAATGTCAAAGGTAATTCAATCGATTGATAGTTTCTGTGGTCTCTATTAATATAAAGTCTCTGTATTGTAATAGGGTTACAGTTGGATTGAAAAAGGTAAATGGCACATTAGTAGGGGGAGGGGAAATCGCAGAAAACTGCAGGCAGTAGTAAATGAATTAAACTAAGAATCGCCACACAACTGCTACGCTTTTGTGGGAAATTTATTCTTAATCCAATATTGACTTCACCTTTCCTTTTCACTTACTCAAATGTCCACTATCCACTGAAAGACAGGGTTTTGATTCACTTTTGTACCCAGAAGACAGCAATATAATGGTACTTTCAGTTGCTCATATTAAAATACATTTCATTATTCTGCCCGTGAATACTGAATTTGGGAGCGCATTTGTCTGAATTCACACCTTGAAATACTTCATACTAGTTCTCCAGATAAAATTGTTTCAGCCACTTAATGTTAGCCTTCGTGTCTTCTGTAATATCTGCATGGATACGCTTTCAAGTGGATCCCATAATTAGACAAAACAATTCAGATTGCTATTTATATTCCTCAGGTCAAAGTCTGATATGATGGCAGAATAAATATAAAATCAGATTCTGAAGGGCATTGTCTTGATTAATGCATCTTATACCAAATGTAAATATTTCTATTTCCTCCTGTTGGATGAGGTTAAGAGAAACATCCTGAATTTGTTCAAACAAGCCTTTCAGTTGGTACAATGGAATAAAAAAAATAAAAATAAAAAAATAGTTTTTTCAGTCTATACTTGCATTAAGAAGAGCTAGTTCCATACAGATTTTCTGGTAAAACATTTGAATTCACAACCCTCTCTAGTGTTAGTTGTAATGCTTCAAATGTGAAATTTCAAGAGCTATTGAACTACTAGTATCAAGAATAGCAGACCTCATGCCCTGTACAGGATACACTTAAGCAACCAGCTTTTTTTAATTTAAGGATGAATTATTTTTGCTTGTTCTCATTTTATATGACTGCTCATTGCTTCCACAGAATCCTTATTCACAAAAGGTGGTGCTGTGTCTAATTTGTAATAGCTGAAGAAAATCAGAAAAAAAAAAAACATTTCTTCCGTCTTTCCAATACATTCATAGTTGTCAGTAAAACTAAAAGCTGTATGATACTTAGAGAAGAAAAAGCCACAATATGAAACCTTACCAGTTTAATGATTCTTCAGTAAAAGCAAATAAACACTGCTGAACAGTTGCCCTCCATTGGAGTATACATTCTGAGACGTTTCTTGAGTTTTCATGCTATTATCCTTAATAATGAGGTGACAGTGGAACATTTAAGAGTTTTTCTTTATATAGAAAATAATTACCTCTTTACTAAAACAGGAAACACACCTTGAAAGTTATAGTTCAGAAACCACGATGGATTTGGATGCTGAATGACAGCTTGCAGATAAACGCATAACAGACTTTGTTCTGGGACTTTTGAAGAGGAAAGAGGAAGGAGATTTGAGTTTGTGGAAGCAGTGAAGGTTAAGGAACTATAAAACCCATCAACAAGCAAGCTTCTCTGTTCCAACAGTCCAATGCAGACACAAACTTTGGAATCTTCCTCCCACTCTTAGGGAAAACATGCACACACACACACCCCGCAGGGGGGAAACACCGACAAAAAAAAAAAAAAAACACACAAAAAAGCCCCACCAAAACACTCCATCTTCACATTTTAATTCAGAATTACTTGCACACCTCAAAGGTCAGCACTGGATTATATATAACCTAAGCAAAATTCCCCCAGAGCCTGTTGCCAACTGTCATGTAGCTATGAATAGCTGTAAGTCACCCACTTGGGAACATTCATGAGTTTGAAGTATCACCGATATCTGTGAGCACAGAAATTTTTCACATAATTTACCAAGTTATCGCCAGATCCTAAGTCACTATCAGCAAATCCTAACAAAGCCACCCAATCATTTGTATTTTTTATACTTACACTGACGCACTTAAAGGAGACACAGACAAAGGAAACATTTTGTGCGAGTGTGTATCATTTATTGTAGTTCAAGAGTCAGGAATTGAACAGAAGACACAGCGAAAAACAAATAAAAGAAAACCAACCTTTTTTTCAGACTTAATTTTAAAACACTGTGGTTTCAAATCCTTTTTAAAAAGGAAATTCAAGTATCATATGCAGGGGGCAGTAATACAAAAATGTTTGTGAATATTTTTTTTTTTAATTTTTTTTTTTAAAAATGTAATTCTACATTTCCTGCACCCTTTCTGCTTTGGTAAGGCCAAGCCATGGATACAAATTGGTACGCAACATAAAAATGACCCCTGCCCCAAACTGCAGCCTCCAAGAATAAAAGGATCTGCTCTCTGCAGACAAGCTCTAATGGCTCAGAACTGTCATTTAGCATATATCATATCTGCAGCATTAAAAGAATGGATTTTCTTTTTAAAAAGTCACTGAAATCCTGGTATTCCCAAGCATCTCATTCATGGCAGCTGTTTTAACATATTTCTATCTCAAGGCTTTTCAAAAATACCAGAGCATCTAGATCAACATAAAGAAAAGGGACATTTCAAAGAATGGAAATTAAAATCCATGTGTGAAGTCTTTGCTTTTTTGAAGTTATCCTCGTGTCTAACACCAATTAAAAACCAAATATGCAAATATGTGCAATATAAAAATACGATCCCAAGATTAACACTTTGTTGCAGGCACAGTTATCGCACAGAATATGTTCTTTTGAGGGCAGGGGAATGATTTTGATTTTCACCGGGATTTTTTTTTTTTGCATTATAAAAAAAAGAAAAAGACAGCAGTGCAGG